GGGCAGCGACCATGCGCGTGGAGCCCCCATTGCATTTCGCAGAAGACGCTAGGCTGGAGCCCACACCGTTCGAGCCGTGTCGGGAAAGAAACGGCTGCGAGGCAGAGCTCCCATGGCCAGATGCCAGCGGGGGGGGGGGGGGGGGCGCAGGACCTCGCCATCCTCTCGGCCCACTACCCTCCGCGAGGCAAGGGCAAAGGAGCGGTTGCGGAGCTGAGGGCCATTTCCGCCGAGCTCGCCAGATGGCTGCGCGAACTTCTCAACCAACTGCCAGCGCGCTGTGCGCCACTGGTTGGGATGGATCTGAATTCGGAATGCGGGCTGAATGCGACGCCTCCACAAGTGACAGGCATGGCTGCGCCAGCAGCAGAAGGACCAAACTCTCGCATCATCAAACCGCCGCTTCAGGCACGCGACCTGGTGCTGGCCGACGCGAGCGCTGACGCGGGCGCCGCGTACTTCGGCATGTCATCAAACATTGTGAAGCGCATCGATTACTTGGCGCGTCCGCGCAGCGCGGTTCATAATATTCACGAGTGTTTTGTCTCCATGAACAAAGGGCAAATATTGCGGCACATCGGGTGGAGCGTTCCGAAGGGCCACTTCCCCATATTCGCGGCCTTCTGGCGCGCCTTCGAGTGCCGGGGCAAACCCGCGACGTTGAGCTACAGCAGAGAGGCTTGCAATGCGGTTCCACTGCGCAGGACGGCGACGATTTGCAGAGAAAACAGAAGAGCGACTGGCACAACGGAGCACCTTCGAACAGTGGGAACCCGCAGGGGACGTGGATCAACACAACGCAGGCATCATGCGTATGTTCCTGGAGGTTTCAGCGGAGCAGCTAAAAGAGGCGCCAGCATGCGTCGGGAAAAGAGGGGGCGCATTGGCGCGGAGCACGCGGCCCGAAGAGTTGCTGCAGCGTAGACGTCAAAGCTAGGAAATCTGAAATGGAGCACCCAGATGAATGCAGCATAGAAGTATGCAGATTGAGCAGGCAGCCGAAGCAGCGCAAGCAGAGTTTCATCCAGAAGCTCACCGAGAAGCGCGTCGGGGGTTTACAGGGCGCGTGTCGGGCTAGGAGATTTTACGACGCACGTAAGATATCCAGGCTGCTGGTTAGCGCGCGTCGCGGTCCTCGTGGACGCCTTCGCGATCGAGTGCCCACCGCGAGAGCCACGGCAGGATAGTGGATAGAGACGTTTCAGAGAGCAGGGGTGGAAAGGGGGAGCAGGATCACGACTACTTGTGCGAAGAGCCAGAGGTCACCGCGGGCTTCTGGGGACTACCGCTTGTGGAAGACAGCGGGCGCGGAGCTCGTCGCAAGCCCTCGCGCTTGGAGTGGGTCAACCCGAGCGAGGAGGCGCTAGACTGTGGAGATTCATCGCGACTCATGTTTTACAGTGGAAAGATGGAGACAGGGGCTCAAGCAAGTGCCTTCGTGGCGAGCTCAACCCAGTTGGTCGGCGCCAGGAGATGTCCTTCGTGCGCTGGCCATGCCGAACTGGTGCCATAGTCCGCGGAGGGGAGGTGGGTTGGGGCTACGCCAGGAGGATGAGGAGATTCGGGCATCAGAGTTCGGGAGGACCCTCTACCTGCTGCGCTGGTGCATCAGAATTGTGGGAAGAGCGCCTGCTGCATGGCATCAGGCGTCGCGCTGCAGACTGGCGAAGCACATTGGCAAAATTGGCGCGGCTGGAGAGAGGCCCATCGTGTTTTTCTTTGGATTGGACAGGTCGTTTGATCGCTCGCTCATGAGATCGGATCAGCAATGCCAGCATGGGGCCCACGGCGGCAGATCACACCGACGTCGAGAGGACGCCATGCTGGTTCAACAGCGTGGAGCAGCGCGTTTGGGGAGAGCGGGGGTGGCGCACATTTTCTAGGTACTATGACGCCATCAATGCATCATATTGCGTGCACACAGGCGTAGTGGAACGAACAATTGCAGAACTGGTGCAGGAAGGCAGCGAGGGCTTGTTCATGCAAAGGATATTGCAGTACGTTTGTCGCCCCCGATGGACATGGGAGCGCTCGCGTGGCAAACGGGCCAGGCGTACTTCCAGGAGATCACGCCGCCGCGAAGCTGTTCGCGAAGACGCATGGGTACGGCGTCGAGTCCTTGACATTCATCCTCGACCAGGACCCCTGGCCACGAGCGTTGCACGCGACGATGCCCGAGGCCGCGCAGCCCCCGCATGACGACAGCGCCGCCGACCTGGCCAACGGCACCTTCGTCGATGATGCTGCGAGAAAAAACATGGGCGCCGATCCGTTTCACATCCAGAGAGTGGCTTCGCGGGGAATCGTGTCTTCGATAAAGGATTGGAGGAGATAGGAGGAGCTCAAACTCGGGGAAAAAACAAGTCAACCTCGTTCAAGGAGCGGGCCCTCCAGCAGCGAAGCCCAATCGAGCTGTCCATTCAGGTCTTCTCGGGCTTGAGGGGCGCGCCGCCTCAGCAGCAATATAACTTTGAGCACTTCAACGCTGCGACAACGGGCTTTCAGCTGAAAAAAAGCACGTTCGTCTTCAGGCTGCAAAAATTGCGTGGTGCAAACTGGGGGCGCGTCTGGACTGCTCCGCAGGCTTCCATCAGGTTTAAGTCCATCGTGTTTGTAGGGGCGGTCTTCAACGCGGCCCTCTCGGGGCTGGAGCCGCACGTCCTCGGCGCGACCGAGCCCCTCACAAGGCAGTCCTTGGATCCTCTACAGCAGCAGATTAATGAGTATGCACGCGTGGTCCTGCATGGCAAACGCACCGCGCGCTCGGAACACGAGGTCCGTGCCCCTAGTAGTCTCGCAGTACAGCGCTTCATGAAGTTCGGCAGTCTCTTCGTCGAGCTCAGGATCAGAAGATTGAAGGGGTTGTGGGATATGCTTGCGAAACCACGCGGTCATCGACAGGTCATTGCTGATCTCGTCGGCCAGGCACAGCGTGAGCCAGCCAATCTTGCAGTTTCGAGCGAAGGCGAGGTTCTCCCCGCGGCCAGCGCGCGGACCAAACAGTTCCGGGCCCACGTGGACGCACTGCTTGAGATTGAAGAAGGGCAAGAACTGGAGTCTGAAATCGAGGCAAGTGTTTTAAAGTTTTGTCGGGCGAAGTGCGCGGTGTTTTCTTGGCAGTCGATGTCGCCCAGCTCAGGTCCACGGAGTTGTCAGTCGCGATCCCGCCGCTGGCGTCAGGGGTGCCCGAGGTTGCAGTGCCTGCCACTCCCCTAGAGGGAGGTTGCGAGTTGTGCGTTTGTGAAGTATGCCAAGGGGGCTTTCAGTCCCAGAAGGTCGTTGTGGCCCATATGAATGCAGGTTGTGCCAGGGTAGGTGCCGACAGAGGTCCCCTGCTAGACTCGGCCTGCATGGCTAATCGAGTGCCCTATGCCGTCGCGCTATCACATGATCGCCTGCTTTGTCAAATCACGTTTGCTGACAGGGAGACGACGCAGTGGCACCTAGCCGCAGCAGTTAACACACAAACGATGCATGACATATTTCAGTGCTAGAAGCCCTGCGCGCGTTGAGCACGAGCGCGCGCAGTGCGCGCACTGTAGCTAGTCTGCTCCAGCGCCTGAGCTGCTGGATCGACATTTCGTTGATGCTCATATGAGCAAGTACTTGGGCACTCACATTCTCACCTTCGACGTCGACGTGGCTGGGCGCGGCGCAGGGCATGGAGCCCAAGGAGGAAAATGGGCCCAAGAGGGGCAGGGAGGAGAAGACGGATACCTCGGACAAGGAGAAGAAGCTGATGCTGCAATTGGAGACCAGAATGAGAGAACGCGAAGCCAACGACACCCACTTCAGGTCCCCAGCGGGCCAACCTGCGCCTACGAACATGCAACAAAGGCAACCAGCGATTACGACGAGCAGGTCAAACGCATCGGCCGTGGACATCAGCTATGCAGCCCACACTTACACGCCTTCGCCAGCCTTCTCGAGTGCTTGAAAAAAAAAAAAAAAAAAAAAAAAAAAAAAAAAAACGTGGACGGCAAGGCGGGAGAGATCAAGGTTTTTGTCGGCGCAGTCGCGCGGCTTCACAAGGCATCAGTGGTCGACGGCAAGCCATCGGACATGGGTGATTTCTACCTCTCGTGCCGCGTCAGCGACTGCCACGTCAAGCAGGGCGCCCAGCCCATGAGCAGGATCAACTTCGCAGTGGAGGGTCACCGGCCCATCGGGAGGACCTTAGTCGAGGAGGACGAGCTCGACTCCGTCAGAGTGCATCCGCTGGAGCTCGAATTCGGCAAGAAGTACGTGCATGTGACGGTGGCCAGGCTCCTCTCGTTGCAGCAGGCATGACGAAAATGCTAGGGGAGGCCCCACTGGGAGGCTTAGCGCACACGATCAGAGGCAAGCGGTAGTTGAAGCGTTGATTAGATCAGCCACCAAACAGCAAAGTGTTCAGAGTAGCCCGGGTGGCAGCAGCAGGCAAATTAGCAGGTCCAGCGAGGGACCCATCTTCCCTCCTTCGCCCCCTCTCGCGCATGCTCCTTCGCCTCGCCCTTCCCTCTCTGTGACCTCATGGGAGCAGCGTTTAAAAGCGCTTCACTGGAGAATTCTGCAGAAGGAAACCAAGGGCCGCCGATAAGTTTCACAGCACCCCCGTGCCATGCTAGCCTTGCCGTGCCACGTCGGCGCTACGTGCAGGGCTGATCGGCCTAGCGCTCCCGTCCGTGCTAAAGGCCACCTGGTGTTCGTCTATCTCAGTGGATGCGCGTTTTCCTTACCAGGCTCTGCGGCGCAAGCGAGATTGAGAGATCAGATCTCAGCATCGATGCAGATCCTCCCCCTCCTCTTCCTCGTCCTCCTCCTCCTCCTCTTCCTCCTCCTCCCCCTCGTCCTCTTCGCCCTCCTCCCCCTCCTGCATCAGCGTCCTCCTCCTCCTTTTCCTCCTCCTCCTCCTCCTCCTCCTTCTTCTCCTCCTCATCCTCTTCATGCTCCTCCCCGCGCCCTTTTCTGGGCGTGTCGAGCTGGGCCGCAACGCCGGTCCGCAGCGCCTGCCCCGGCAGGGAGAGACCCTGGGCCACGGGAAGCTCGTGGAGATCTACGAGGACGCGCTCTTCCGAGTTGCGGCGGCCGCGGCGGCGGCGGCGATGCCGACGACGACGACGACGACGACGACGACGACGACGACGACGACGACGACGACGACGACGAAGACGACGACGACGACCTTGACGACCGTGAACCAGTCGGTCAGAGGAGAAAAAGGAACCGATACCGCTACCCTTGCCTCGTTTTCCCCTGCTTGGGCCTCCTGGGGGTGCCTCGTCGTCACGGTTTGATTCGATTCGAAATCTTGGTCAGAACGCGGTCTGGGAGAGGTCCAGCCTGGACCTTTCCCAGGGCGCTGTCTGACCGTCCAGGGAGGAGCGGTATCTTGGTCTCCCCAGTCGCAGCGAATTTCCCTTGTGTCGTCTTTTGGGCAATCGCAGCATCAAGCGGGTGCTTATCGGACGGGGCTGGGACGAGGATAAATCCGTTCCAGAGCGTTCAGAAGGCTCTCAGAGCGTTCGCCCTGAAAGTAAAAATCGACGTCTGGGCGGGTTCCAAGCCTGGGCGCGCCCGGCGAACTGCGCGGCGGTCTTCCGACTGCCAGCGAGGCCCAGCGGGCCGCCGAAGTTGCTCTGCTGGCGGTTGGAGGCGAGAGCGACGCGCCCGTCGCAGTCGGCCGTGGCCGAGCGTGTCCAATGAGGGCACATAGTCAGACGGGGCTCGGACGAAGACAAATTCGTTCCAGAGCGCTCCGGAACGCTTTCAGAGTGTTCCGGAACGCTCTGAGAAGGCCGCGGCGCCTGAGACATCCCCAGAGCCGCCGGGTCTCAGGGATGCTCCATGTATCTTCTCCCGAACTTATCTTCGTCCTGGCTTCGTCCTAGGCCCAAGGTTTTGGTCACGATGTTTCGCGAAGGGCCCTCGTCGGAAGAGGACCCGTCGCGACAACGGCGGCGGCCCTTCCTGACGTGCGTTCCCCTCGCCTGAACCTCCTCCTCCTCTTCCTCCTCCTCCTCCTCTTCCTTCTCCTCCTCCCTCCCCCTCCCCCTCCTCCTCCTCCTCCTCCTCCTCCTCCTCCTCCTCCTCCTCCTCCTCCTCCTCCCAAGATCAGGGGCTCCGAGCGACCGCTGCCATTTGATTTTGGCTCCCCGGTTGCTAGGCATGCCTTTCCTTCCGCGTTGCCGTCGAGATCTTGCGACAACCCTGGTTGGGCGAGTTTGCTTCTGGAGTTCCATGATTCTGGTCAGGCGCGCCCCACAGGTGACTAAGAGGGGGAGAAATCATGCTCGGCAATTTTCTTTTTCTTCAACAGCACCTTGGCGGTGCAGGCCACGTGCGGTGTTGTTTTACTTCGCCCATGTCGCTTTCGTGATGGCAAGGTGCAGGCTGGGCATGTTGTATCCCTTCCTATTATTCTTTTGCACGGTCCGTCCCAGTCGGCAGGCGAGTCTACAGCCGGTCCTACTGTTCGTCAGCACGGGACCGGCAGCCGTGCTCGAGATTTCCACACACTCTTACACATTTTCCAGCTTAATTTGTGGCTTGTATTTTATCTTCCATCCCGGTTCGAGGCTACCAGACAAAACCCAGCAACCAAGCCGACTGAATTTACTGTCCTGGCAGTTTTCGTTGTGATCAGACCACATCGCACCAGAGGATATATTAACCAGGCAGTTTTCGTTGTGATCAGAGCACATCACACCAGAGGATTGTTTAACCAATCATGGCTGCGATAATTGCTTTGGCAAAAAATATATCAACAAAAACAATCTGCAAGCGAGAGGACGTGCCGCGGGCGTTCGTGCCCTTCAAACCGTCCCCCTGTCGACTGGGCGTACCCCGTCATCTTTTCGTGCAGCCTGGATGGGTGTTGCTGTTGTTTCGCTGCCGGCATAACACACCTTGCAGTCAAGTGGAGAAACATGGGTTCGTTCGCTGCGCATGTGGGAAGTTGTGTGTTCATTTTGCCATATTGTTTTGGTCTGGGCGCATGCATTTGGATAAATATGTGCAGGGTAGTTTACGGCCTGGCAGTGTTCAGTTTTTGCTGGCAGGTTGGTCAGGTGGTCTGGAACCATCGTCGCGTACTGCTTGTGACGCGCGGGTGCAAGTCCATGTTGAGTCCCTTTCAGCATCACGATGAAGGGGGAAGTCTCTCTCGTGCTGTTGTCTGGCCGTTCAATGGGCTGTTTGGTCTCAGTGTCTTCGTGCGTTGGTGGGCATGGCAATATGGTGAACATTTTATTCGTGAGGTGGCACGGTGTCCCGCAGCAGGTAATTGAAGGTCAGATTCGTATGTCCGACTCGCCTCGTTTGTGCGTTCACGCGCGTGTCTGTCAGTCACCTCTATGTATAAGGGTCTCATGTTTGCAACCGACATGGTCGCTATATCCATAGCTCCATAGCTCCTCCTCCTCCTCCTCTTCTTCTTCTTCTTCTTCTTCTTATTCTTATTCTTATTCTTCCTCCTCCTCCTCCTCCTCCTCCTCCTCCCCCTTCCTCCTTCCAATCAGGCGGTGGGCTTGCAAGAAGGCGGGAAGGCTTGCTGGAAGCCTTCTTCAAGCCGCCAGGCCCTTCTGAGAAGGCCCTTGCCGCATTCCACGAAGCTCACTGGCCTTTTCGGAAGCCCACGCCCCTCGCGCCGCCCGTTGCGGGCGCCTGCGAGTCAGCCTCGGGGCCGGCCATCGGGGGGCGGTCTATGGCCGCCGCCCCCGCGCGCAGTACTTTGTGCCGGATCAGATTTTTCGTCGGGGTGCCAGTGTTGTACCCGACCCCATCGCCACGGTCTTGTGCCGCACCAGCTTGTTCGTGGGGGCGGCGTGTAATTGTCGCGTTTTCAATCAAGGAGGGGTCTGGGAGGGCTGGGGCCTTGGAGGACGCGCTGAGGAAGAGGAGGAGGGGGAGGGCGAGGAGGAGGAGGAGGAGGAGGAGGAAGAGGAGGAGGAGGAGGAGGAGGAGGAGGAGGAGGAGGAGCAGTCACTGTGAAAGACCCACAGAAGATGTACGCGCCCGGCCGAGCACATCAGGGGCAGCGCCAGGGTGAGGGGCGCAGTTTCGAGGCTCGAGGTTTTCGGGCGTTCTCTTCGCTTGTCGGCGGTTTCCCATGCTCGGGATGCTCTCCAGCGGCTGCGCCTCGCCGCGGGTGTTCCGGGGCTGCCCATATGGCCAGAAGGCCAAAACCGCCAGGGGCTTAGGCTCAGGAGGGGATGCAGAGCCCCAATCGCCCACTGATTGCCGATGGGGGCTTGATGGCCCACCCCGCCCAGGAACGTGCGGCTTCTTTACCCGGGGGCTATCGCCGATCTATCAGCGATGTATCGCCGATTCTTGGTCGATGTTTCTTCCTCCTGAGCAGGATCCCCCTGGCGTTGCCCCTCACAATCCGCGAGGCCACCCTCGTGCTACAAGCGATCGCGCAATGCAGATTATCGAAACCTTCGGACAGAATCGCACATGTGCGTGATTCTGTGTGTTTTTCGCTCCTGGTCCTGGTGGTGCCGAAGACGTTCTGTCGGGACGCTTTCTGAGGTTTTCGGGCGTTTTCGTTTGCTCTTGGGGGGCCACGGGAGCTGTGACCTCGGTATCTGGGCGGCTTTCAGAGAAAAGAGGGAAGTACGCACATCGGGCGCTTGATTGCAGAGGGAAGATGCGTATACAGGGAGAGAGGGAGAGAGGGAGGACAAAGGGCAGAGAGAGGGGATGGGGCAGGAGTCGCGGGCAGCACTACATAGGGATGTGCTCAGGTGGAGACTCATCGACCCCCAATCGCCCCTTCATCGCCGATAGGGCAGCCCACTCCTGCCCAGGGATTCGTTGTCGGGGGCCTGTCGCCGATCCGTCGGCGATGTGCCGCCGATTCCTGGCCGATGCTCCCATCCCCGAGCCGGTCCCTCGGTATCGGATGGCGCGCCCCCCCCCCGAGGACGAGAGCATTGCGAAGCGGATACTGGCAGAGTGGGACGGCAACAAGGACGGCACACTCACGGTGGCCGAGCTGAAGAGTGCGGCCTCCCGCACCGACGGCGACGCCCCGCGGGGAAGAGCGCGTGCCCGAAGCGGGGGGGCGGGAGGGCGCACGGGGCGGAGGGAAAGGGGGGAGGGGGGGGAGGGACACCAAGGGGAGGAAGAGGAGCAGCAGTGCAGGAGGAGGAAGAGGAGGAGGAGGAGGCGGAGGAGGAGGAAGAGAATTGAAGAGGAGAAGGAGGAGGAGGAGGAAGGAGGAAGGAGGAATAAGGAGGGAGGAGGAGGAGGAGGAGGGAGGAGGAAGGAGGAAGGAGGCAGGAAAATGGAGGAGGGAGGAGGGTGGAGGGAGGAGGGAGGAGGAAGGAGGAGGGAGGAGGAGGAGGAGGAGGAGGAGAAGCGGGCAGGAGGGAGGAGGAGGAGCAGGCAGGAGGAGGAGGAGGAGGAGGAGGAGGAGTGGGAGGAGGAGAGACGCAGGGCAAGCTGGAGGGGTGGACTGTGGCGCAGCTGGAGAGGAACGCAGGGCAGGGAGAGGAGCGCGAGTGGGAGGTGGAGGGGGTGGGGCGGCGGGAGGGCGGAGTGGATGTGGAGGGGGAGGGGAAGGGGGTGGGCCTTTTCCTCCTCCTCTTCTTTTTCCTCCTCTTCCTCCTCCTCCATTCCTTCTCCTCGTAAATAACTCCTCCCTGTCGCGCTTCGAGGCTGGTCGGAAGGGCGGGCCGGGCGTTTCGCCTCAGACTTCGCTGCCATTTACGATGCCGCAAACTTCAAACTTGGCAACAGTTTCACGGATGGAGAGCGGTCGCTTCCAAAATGTGGCTCTCGCCTCAGCGCCGCGCGCACTCGTGTCAAACAATTGTATCTCATCGCTACCAGACACCCTCAATATCGAATTGTTCAAATGAATTTTGGTGTCTGGGATTTTCGTAGGGTGCGCAGACGCGTTGGCGCGCTTGGCGTCGACGCGCACGCGCGCGATTGTCGAGCTCGTGTGACTTGCATGTCGGTGCGCTGTCACGGGCACGGCGGGGTAGTACATTTCCCTCGCTCCAGGTTGATCGCGGAGGGAAATCACGACACATTTTTGTTTGGGGCGGAGCTCCCCATATTTGACATTCAGATAGCCCTTCCAGGGACTCGGGCGAGGCGTTCTGCCGGAGACTTCTGCACATAGATTACTCAGATTAGCCCGTTCTGAAATTCAGATTGGCCCGGCCTGAAATTCAGATTGGCCCGGTCTGAATTTCAGATTGTTCTGGTCTGAATTTCAGATGTGGTGGCTCCGCGTGGAAGATTTATTCGGCTTGGTGCCGCTGTCCACGTCACGAACGTGGTCGACGTTTGCTCTCCTGCGTGGTTGCGACATGGGACATGAGAGTGCTCTTGCACTTCTATTAATTAGGGTAGTTGGCGCTCGAAACCCCGATGTTCCCTTGGACGTGACGCGCCTTGCGGATGCGAGAACATGAGAAGTCGATGTTTCATGGTTGGAGGTGTCTGGTAATGAACACGTAGCAGGAGCTTCACGGATTGAGGGCGTGTCGTCTTCAAAACGTTGTTTTCGCCATAGCACCGCGTGTATTCTCGCTTTAGAAAATTGCGAGAGCTTCGCGGAGTGAGGAGAGGTCGTTTTCAAATTGTGGTTTTCGCCTTAGCGCGGCGCGCTTTCGTTTTATACCTTTGCAAGAACTTCACGGATGATGGGTGGTTCCTGTTCAAAGTACATTTCTCGTTTTAGCGCCGTGCGCACTCGTCTTAAATATTTGCAAGAGCTTCACGGATGGAGAGCGGTTCTTTTTCAAAATGTGTCTCTCGCCTTAGTGCCGCGTTCATTCGCATTAGCAAATTGCAAGAGCTTCGCGGGTTTATGGTTAGCGTATCAGAAATTTTGTTTTGGAGCGATATAAGATTATCAAGGCGCAACAGCTACGTTGATTTGCGGTGTTGAAGTCCCAGGAATTATATTCTGACACGATTCAGGGTTGTCAAGACGCCACACTAAGGTTGATTCGTGGCGTTGAAGTCTCAAGAATGGTGCTATGGCACGGTTCAGGATTTTCGAACGGTTGTTTCGCAACGGGACATTTTCTTCAGTGGAAATGAACCTTTCTAGGGGCCTACGAAAAAAGGGGCCGCTTGTAGAGAGGGGCCACTGGAACATCGTTGCTGGGTTTTGGGCTTACTCTGGTCTTCCTCTGCCTCCTACTCCTCTCCTTCCTCCTCCTCCTCCTCCTCGTCGTCGTCCTCCTCCTCCTCCTCCTCCCCCTCCCCCTCCTCCTCCGCGAAGTTCGAAGCTGCGGACTGTGTCACCGATCCTTTTCTCTCTTTCTTTCTTTCTCTCTCTCTCTCTCTCTCTCTCGCAGCGCTCCGCAACGTCCCCTTCCGCCGTTGCGCCAGCCGCACGCCGCGAGCCTCCTCCTCCTCTTCCTCCTCCTTCTCCTCCTCCTCCTCCTCCTGGAGGGCCTCGGCGGCGATCAGGGACTCCGCGGCAGGGATCGGGGCGACGTTTTGTGGGGGGGAGGATCGGCTCACAGGGGGGACTCATCGGCCCCCCATCGCCGACAGGGGCCCGATAGCCCTCTCCCCTCCCGCTAGGAACGCTCGGTTTCACCATCGGGGGCCGATCGCCGATCTATCTTTGCCGATGCCAGGCCGATCCCAGGCGACAAACCAGCCGGGAACGACCCACCCCTCCCCCACTTCCCCGAACTGCAGCGTGGGCGCGTCGGGGGACGACCGCCGCGACGAAGCGCCAATCGGATCCCCCGCCAGCGTGGAGCATGGGGGAGGGGGGGGGGAGCTCACGTGGCCACGAGTGCTCGCCGTTGGTTTCCGGCGCGTGCGCAGTCACGGCGCGGAGCCAGCGCCCGCTCTGGGCTCAGGGGGGGGCCCCGGTCTGCGGGCCGCTCCTCAGGCCCAGGTCGGAATTGGGTCGCTGCCCTCCTCCTCCTCCTCCCTTTCCTCCTCCTCCTCCTCCTCCTCCTCCTCCTCCTCCTCGTACTCCTCCCTTTCCTCCTCCTCCTCCTCCTCCTCCTACTCCTCCTCCTCCTCGTCCTCCTCCTCCTCCCTTTCCTCCTCCCTTTCCTCCTCCTCCTCCCCCTCCTCCTCCTCCTCCTCCTCCTCCTCCTCCTCCTTGTCCTCCTCCTCCTCCTCCTCCTCCTTGTCCTCCTCCTCCTCCTCCTCCTCCTCCTGGCGTCCATTCTGGCAGTGCCATGACTGCATCGTTGCCCCTCGCCCCAGGGCTTCGGCAGGGAGAGGGGCAGACACCCCCAGCAAACGCGTGCGCGCGTGCGGGGCCAACCTGCGCGCTTGCGTCCGATGCGTCGCCCCTGGCGTTTGTCGGCATGCGGATTCGCGTGTGCAGATAGGCACCCTCTCTTGACGGGCGTTGTTGCCGATGCTCTCTGCATCGCACTCCGTGGAACAACGGGAGCGGGACATTCTCTCGATGGGCGTTGTTGTCGGAGACCCTCGGCACTACACTCTGTGGAAAACGGAGCGGGGCAGCGGGTTCCGACCATGCCGCAGCCGAGGCAAGATCTCCCGCGGGGCGCCCCCGCAAACATTGGTCGTGGGGGGGGAGGGCATCTGATATGGTACGAGTGTTCGCTCTCGGTTTCCGACGCCTGCGTCGTTGCCCTTCCTTCGGGGGGCCTCGGCAGGGAGCGTGGCGGAGGGGTCGGACCATGTTGCAGCCGAGGCTCGCCGTGGCCACGAACGCCCTTGCGTTTCCATGAATAGCTTCGCTCATTCCAGTGGCCCATATTGTATCACTGGTGCTATATGTTTGTGTGCTCGTGGCGAGCGAGAAGGAGGAGGAGGAGGAGGGGGACGAGGACGAGGACGAGGACGAGGACGAGGACGAGGAGGCCTCTCGAATGCTTCTTGTGGCATTTTGGCGTGGACACGACGCCGCATTTTGAGGCTGCTTTGGGTGTCTTGGGAGGCCTCTTCGGGGGCCTCGTGACGGCCTCTTGAGCACCTCTGAGGCTTCTCTTTGAGGGTCTTGAGGGCCTCTTGGGGCCGGTTCGGGGGCCTCTTGGGTGCCTCCCGAAAGCCTCGGTGCCTCTTCGGCTTGTCTCGGAGGGTATTGGGGGCCTCTTGGACCGTCGTGGGGCTCTTATAGACCGTCTTGGCGGTCTCTTGGGCCGTCTTGGCACCCGCTTGGGCCGTGCCGGGGCGTTTTCAGAGGCCTCTTGGGCCGTCTTGGGGCGAAATTGTGGGCCTCCTGGCCAGTCGTGGAGCGTCAAGAAGCTGAACATGTGAGAACGAGGAAATCACCAACAAATGCAATGGACATCGATGGCTTTAACTTCTTGGGGCCTTCTTGGGAATGCTTCTGGAGGCTTTTCGGGGCGTCTGGGAGGCTGCTTGAGCTGTCTTGGGGCAACCCTTGTCTTGGAGCGACCTTGTGGCGTCTCGGAGCCCTCTGAAATTATCTTGGCGATCTCTTCGGGGCCACCTTCGCCCTTCTTGTGGCTTTCTGGGAGGCCCTGAAGGCGGCGCCCAGGAGCAAAACCATCTCTGAGGCGGACTTGCCCAGACCTTTCCGGGACCTTGCTGCGCGGACCTTGCCGGGTTACTTCGGCCGGGGACCCCCAGGGGCGGCCCTGCGCGCGCGAGCAAGAAAATTCTGAACCAGTCACCAGAGCTTTTGGCACGCTTCTGGCCCGTTGGGCCAGCGATTCTAGCGCTCCTGGTGGCAGTGCCATGACTGCATCGTTGCCCCTCACTCGGGGAGCCTCGGCGGGGAGGAGGCGCAAGAAGAGACGAGGCAGGAGGAGGAGAAATAGGAGGAGGAGGAGGAAGGGGGAGGAAGATAAAGAGGAGGAGGAGGAGGAGGAGGAGGAGGAGGAGGAGGAGGAGGAGCGGAGCAGAGGGCCCAGACCACGCCGTGGCCGAGGCAAGATCTCCCTCGGGGCGCTGGACCCCGGCGCGAGCGCCGCCGCCTTCCAGGTGAAGGACGTGCTGAAGGCTGGAGCTCGTCGTCGTCGTCGTCGTCGTCGTCGTCGACTCGTCGTGTCGGCGGCGGCGTCGGCGTCGTCGGCGTCGGCGTCGACATCGTCGTTGTCGTCGTCGTCGTCATCGTCGTCGTCGTCGGTGCTGGCCGCAGCTGCCTCTTGCGCCGACGCCTTCTGGGTGAAGGGCGTCCTGAAGGCTGGAGCTCCGGGGGCCTGAGGTGGCCCATCGGGCGTCGAGCAACGGGGGGTGCGCCTCCAAGGAGGGCACACAGTCAGACGGGGCTCTCGGACGTTCTGGAGCGTCCTCCGGGGCGCTCTCAGAAGGCCGCGGCGCCCGAGAAGGCCGCGGTGCGAGAAGGGCGCGGCGCCCTGGGGTCCGAGGTGGCCCATCGGGCCCGTTCCTCTTCCTCCTCATCCTCCTCCTCCTCCTTCTCCTCCTCCTCCTCCTCCTCTTTCTCCTGCTCCTCCTCCTCTTTCTCCTGCTCCTCCTCCTCCTCCTCCTCCTCCTCCTCCTCCCTCTCCTCCTCCCCCCCTTCCTCCGGTGGCCCGGGTGTGCGATAAACGGGCAGTGCGTCGTCGTCGTCGTCGTCGGCGTCGTCGTCGGCGTCGTCGTCGGCGTCGGCGTCGCCGTCGGCGTCACCTCCGATGGCGACTCGGCCGCCTTGGGAGGGGAACGCTCAGGCGGGGAATCACCACCAAGCGGCGTATTTCAGGATTGCGGGCCAGGAGATACGCTTACTTGAGCGGGAAGAACAAGAGCCTGACTTTAAGAGCGAGGATGTCCCGTCGGGCGTCGAGTAACGGGGGTGCGATAAACAGGCAGTGCGTCGTTGTCGTCGTCGGCGTTTTCTTCGTCGGCGACGGCGTCACCTCCGATGGCGACTCAGCCGCCTTGGGAGGGGAACGATCAGTCGGGGGATCACCACCAAAAGGCATATTTGAGGATTTGGGGCAGGAGATACGCTTGCCTCAGCGGGAAAACAAAAGCCTGACTTTAAGAGCGAGAATGGCCCATCGGGCGTCGAGTAATGGGGGTGCGATAGACGGGCAGTGCGTCGTCGGCGTCGGCGTCGGCGTCACCTCCGATGGCGACTCTGCCGCCTTGGGAGGGGAACGATCATGTGGGGGATCACCACCAAAAGGCATATTTGAGGATTGGGGACCAGGAGATATGCTTGCGTAAGCAGGAAAACAGGAGCCTGACTTTCAGAGCGAGAACGGCCCATCGGGCGTCGAGTAACGGGGGTGCGATAAACGGGCAGTGCGTCGTCGTCGTCGGCGTTGGCGTCGGCGTCGGCGCCGGCGTCACCTCCGATGGCGACTCAGCCGCCTTGGGAGGGAAACGATCAGGTGGTGGATCACCACCAAAAGGCATATTTCAGGATTGGGAACCATGATATACGCTTGCTTAAGCAGGAAAACAGGAGCCTGACTTTAAGAGCGAGAATGGCCCATCGGGCGTCGAGTAACGGGGGTGCGATAGACGGGCAGTGCGTCGTCATCGTCGTCGTTGATGTCGTCGTCGTCGTCGGCGTCGGCGTCGGCGTCACCTCCGATGGCGACTCGGCCGCCTTGGGAGGGGAACGATTATGCGGGGGATCACCACCAAAAGGCACATTTCAGGATTGGGGTCCAGGAGATACGCTTGCTAGAGCGGGAAAAAAAGAGCCTGACTTTAAGAGCGAGAATGGCCCATCGGGCGTCGAGTAACGGGGGTGCGATAAACAGGCAGTGCGTCGTCGTCGTCGGCGGCGGCGTCGGCGTCGGCGTCACCTCCGATGGCGGCTCAGCCTCCTTGGGAGAGGAACGATCATGCGGGGGATAACCACCAAAAGGCATATTTCATGATTGGGGTCCAGGAGATACGCTTGCTAGAGCGGGAAAAAAAGAGCCTGACTTTAAGAGCGAGGAGGATGGCACATCGGGCGTCGAGTAACGGGGGTGCGATAAACAGGCAGTGCGTCGTCGTCGTCGGCGGCGGCGTCGGCGTCGGCGTCACCTCCGATGGCGGCTCAGCCTCCTTGGGAGAGGAACGATCATGCGGGGGATAACCACCAAAAGGCGTATTTCAGGATAGGGGACTAGGAGATACGCTTGCTTGAGCGGGAAAACAAGAGCCTGATTTTAGGACCGAGAATGGCCCATCGGGCGTCGAGTAACGGGGGTGCGATAAACGGGCAGTGCGTCGTCGGTGTCGGCGTCGGCGCCGGCGTCACCTCCGATGGCGGCTCAGCCGCCTTGGGAGGGGACCGATCAGGCGTGGGATCACCACCAAAAGGCGTATTTCAGGATTGGGGACCAGGAGATACGCTTGCTAGAGCGGGGAAACACGAGTTTGTCTTTAAGAGCGAGGATAGCCCATCGGGCGTTGAGTTATGGGGGTGCGATAAACGGGCAGTGCGTCGTCATTGTCGTTGTTGTCGTCGTCGGCGTCGGCGTCGGCGTCACCTCCGATGACGACTCAGCCGCCTTGGGAGGGGAACGATCAGGCGTGGGATCACCACCAAAAGGCATATTTCAGGATTGGGGACCAGGAGATACGCTTGCTAGAGCGGGAACAAAAAAGCCTGACTTTAAGAGCGAGGATGGCCCATCGGGCGTCGAGTAACGGGGGTGCGATTAACGAGCAGTGCGTCGTCGGCGTCGGCGTCGGCGTCGGCGCCGGCGTCACCTCCGATGGCGGCTCAGCCGCCTTGGGAGAGGAACGATCAGGCGGGGGATAACCACCAAAAGGCGTATTTCAGGATAGGGGACCAGGAGATACGCTTGCTAGAGCGGGAAAAAACAGAGCCTGATTTTAGGAGCGAGGATGGCCCATCGGGCGTCGAGTATCGAAGGTGCGATAAACGGGCAGTGCGTCGTCGTCGTCGTTGCCGTCGTCGGCGTCGGCGTCGGCGTCGGCGTCACTTCCAGTGCGATAAGTGGGCAGTGGGTCGTCGTCGTCGTCGTCGGCGTCGGCGTCGTCGTCGACTCGTCGTCGGCGGCGGCGGCGGCGTCGGCGTCGTCGGCGTCGTCGTCGACATCGTCGTTGTCGTCGTCGTCGTTGTCGTCGTCGTCGTTGGTGCGGACTGGCCGCAGCTGCCTCTTGCGCCGACGCCTTCTGGGTGAAGGGCGTCCTGAAGGCTGGAGCTCTGCGGGCCTGAGGTGGCCTATCGGGCGTCGAGCAACGGGGGTGCGCCTCCAAGGAGGGCACACAGTCAGACGGGGCTCGGACGAGGATCAATTCGTTCCAGAGTGTTCCGGAACGTCCTCAGAGCGTTCCGGGGGCCGAGACGTCTTCCAGAGCCACCAGATCTCAGAGACTCTCTCAGTTTATCTTCCAGGGCTGGACCTAAACGGTGTTTTGGGGATTTCGTGGGCCGTTTTCGTTTCGACTTCGTTCTGCGGTAGAGGTGGATTGAAGACAAAACGAGGGACAACGAAAGCAAAGCGAAAACGAAAAACACCGTTGAGGTTCAGCCCTGTTATCTTCACCCGATGTCGTCCTCGTCTTGGCTTCGCCCTGCATCGTGCACGGTGAGTGGCCACGTGTCCTCCCGGTGCTCGGGCCTCCACGGCCAGGCACGCCGCCGGCCCTCTGCATATGCACCTGGCGCGTGGCCGCCACGTGCGCTCGACGCGCACGGCAAGGTCACGACTATTCTGCACGCCACAGAGCGGGAGTCGCCCTAGCAGCAAAAACTCTCACATCATCATCATCATCATCATCATCATCATCATCATCATCATCATCATCATCATCATCATCATCATCATCATCATCATCATCATCAGCATCAGCATCAGCATCAGCATCAGCATCAGCATCAGCATCAGCATCAGCATCATCACCAGCATCATCATCAGCAGCATCATCACCAGCATCATCATCATCATCATCATCATCATCATCACATCATCATCATCACCATCATCATCAGCAGCATCCATCAGTATCAATCATCATCATCATCATCCTCATCATCATCATCAGCAGCAGCAGCAGCAGCACCAGCATCAGCATCAGCATCATCATCAGCATTATTATTATTATTATTATTATTATTCGTATTATTAGTAGTATTAGTATTTTTATTAGTATTAGTATTAGCATCATCATCAGCATCAGCAGCAGCAGCATCCTTGCCTGCTCGGCCCATCCTTAAGGAGTCCCTCGCTCCAAGCACTGCAACCTGGGCGTTCCGAGGGGCTTGCGTCCTTACCGCGCGTCTTCTGATACGCGTGGACTGTACTCCACGAGAGCAGCCGGCCGCATCCTGGCACCGTCAGGCCTGGCCAGGTTGCCGCACGGATCGTCACCCATCAAACCAACCCAACCCGGAGGCCCCAATATGCCCATCCTTCGCAGCGGGAGGGGGGCGTCGGGGAGCATAGAAAAAACACGCGTGGAACCCGTCTCCCCCCCCAAGTGGAAATGTTGGTCTTCGGATTCGGTAAGGGCTGAATGGGGCCCAAGGGGCACGAAAGGTGCACGCTTCTCCCTCCCCCCATTGATCGCCCCCCATTCATGAACGCCCGAGCCCAGCACTGGTCCTGCGAGCAGAACTGGGGGGAGATGTTGGAGGTTCTTGGTTCGAGAAGCGTTCGGCCCTTTTCGGCCTTCAGGGGCCGTTTTCGGGCCCCAGGGCTGCCAACAATTGATCTGGGGTGACCGATTTGAACAGGTTGGCCCTTACCTTTATCTCTCCTTCCTAACCGATTGTCTCGAGGTCACTCCAGTTCTCTCACCCCCCGGCCGCCTCCAACCTGGAGGCGTGCTGGGAGCTCTTCATCGTCGGCCTGATCTTGTTCTTCGTGACCGCCGCGATCAATCAGGCGCTTGGGGTTGGGCAGGGGCAAAGTCGACTAGACGTAAGAATGACCTTTCGCGCCCAGGTTTGGTCCCCCCGCGGCCCCCGAAAAGTCGCGCACCAAAGGTCACTCTTACCCAGGGTCACTCCTGCGTGTAGCCGACAAAGTCAGGGGGGGGGGATCTGTTCATCACACGCATGTTGCACGCCGCGCCAGTGCGGCTCGGGCGCTGCAGCGGCTGCCAATGAGGGAGTGATGGGAAGGGGCCACAGGAGGGGGGACCGATGACACAGATGTGCGGCCTCCGACTTCCTGGTGCTCGTGTTGTTGCTGGTCACTCCTCCTCCTCCTCCTGCGCTGCAGCGGCTGCCAATGAGGGAGTGATGGGAAGGGGCCACAGGAGGGGGGACCGATGACACAGATGTGCGGCCTCCGACTTCCTGGTGTTCGTGTTGTTGCTGGTCACTCCTCCTCCTCCTCCTCCCTCCTCCTCCTCCTCCTCCTCCTCCCTCCTCCTCCTCCTCCTCCTCCTCCTCCTCCTCCTCCTCCTCCTCCTCCCCCTCCTCCTCCTCCTCCTCCTCCTCCTCCTCCTCCTCCTGCGTGCTCATGGGGGCAACTGCTCTGGGCCGCGCGGCCTGCTGTGCAGGCCAGGCCGCCCTCGAAGGTGCCGTGGGAGCTCGTGCTCGAGTGGCCATGGGCGCTCGCGGTTCTCCGGGTACTTCCACGTGCAGTGGCACAGCGACGCTCAGAAGTGCAGGTGCTGGCACCCGCCCTCGTGCGAGTATACCGTTCTCGGGGCCAGGCTGAACTGCATTCTCCTCCTCCTGCGCTACCGCCTGAGGCGCAACCGAAGGTTACTTCGCCACCTCTTAGAAGGAACCTCGCAGGCGAGAGGACTCTCCCCTGACCCCTGGGGTCCCTCTTCCGCGGTACGAGACCGCGGGCACCAAAATACAAAATTGAAAGGTATGGCCTCCCCAGCGGGCTCGGAGAGTCCGCAAGCCTCCCCGAGGCAGCCTGGACCGACGAACCCAGCGGGCAGTCGTCGGCCAGGCTATCGCGGGACGACTGCGGACCTTTCAAGTCCCTGGAACGGAGTTTGGCCAATGCTTCAGTCATTCGGGCAGCCGCCCTTCGTCTATCCTCTTGAGCGTGTTCTTGCCATCCTTGCTGAGGCTAGGCACACACGGGGACGACAACTTAATGAAACGCGTGACTCCCTGGGCCGCACATGCCCTACATGACCAAAGTCCTCGCACCTGCTCTACTCGGTGCGTGGGGTGAATCTGAATATTCTCCTCCTCCTCCTCATCCTCATCCTCCTCCTCCGCTGTGCCTGTCACAACGCAGCTGCTTCCTGGTCCCAGGGCGTGACGTTTTTTCCTCGATGCCGCCACTGATTTGTTTCAGACGTGAAAGGCCCCTGCTGGCAGAAAATCCTGCTCCTCCCCCGCCGCCCCCCGCGAGGTGGCCAGACAGAAGCAGGCCCAGCTCGACGAGGCGGAGATCGCGAAGCTGGAGATGTGGGGCCCAATAGCACACACCACCGCCCCCTCCCTCCCGCAGGCAGACGGGGAGAAGAGGAGAGGAAGACGAGGGCAGAGGCCTCCTCCTCCTCCTCCTCCCTTCCTCGCTCATCTTTCTCCTCCTCGCTCCTCCTCCTCCTCCTCGCTCCTCGCTCCTCCTCCTCCTCGCTCCTCGCTCCTCCTCCTCGCTCCTCCTCCTCGCTCCTCCTCCTCCTCCTCCTCCTCCTCCTCGCTCCTCCTTGCTCCTCCTCGCTCCTCCTCCTCCTCCTCCTCCCCCTCCTCCTCCTCCTCCTCCTCCTCCTCCTCCTTCTCCTCCTCCTCGCTCCTCGCTCCTCCTCCTCCTCCTCCTCCCAAGGGGGAGGCATGCCGGTGGTGGTGCCGTACCGCCCTGGGGCCCGCAGGAGAAGCAGCGGTCGGGCAAGAAGGACTGAGCCACGGGCGCTCTGCGCCCCCGCGCCGCAGCGCCATCTGCGGGCGCTCTGTTGGCGCGAGGCGGGGGCCGTCCGGGCAGCCCGGGGAGCCGTCCGCCTGGGCAGCTCCGCGGCGTGGGGCAGGGAGCCCGCGTGCCGGCCGGGTGTCGGCCCCCTCCTCGTCGGCGTCGTCGTTCCCTCCTCGTCGTCGGCGTCGTCGTCGTCGTCAGCAGCAGCAGCAGCAGCATCAGCATCAGCATCAGCATCATCATCATCATCTTCCTCCTCATCCGCCTCCTCCTCCTCCTCCCCATCATCATCATCATCATCATCATCATCAGCATCATCATCATCATCATCATCATCATCCATCATGCTCATGCTCATCCTCGTCATCATCCTCGTCATCCTGCCCATCTCGTCGGCGTCGTCCTTCCCTCCTCCACGCCCTCCTCCTCTTCCTTCTCCTCCTCCTCCTCCTCCTCACTCTCATCCTCATTATCATCCTCATCCGCACTCTCATCCTCGTCATCCTGCCCACCTCGTCGGCGTCGTCCTTCCCTCCTCCTCCTCCTCCTTCTCCTCCTCCTCCTCCTCCTCCTCCCCCTCCTCCTCCTCGCTCCTTCTCGTTGTCCTCCTCCTCGCTCCTCCTGGCTCCTCCTCGCCCCCCCCTCGTTCTCCCGCTCCCCCTCCTCTCCTCGCCTTTCCTCCTCCTTCTCCTCCTCCTCCTCCTTCTCCTTCTCCTCCTCTTCCTCCACGCCCTCCTCCTCTTTCTCCTCCTCCTCCTCCTCCTCCTCCTCCTCCTCCTCCTCCTCCTGTTGCATTCGGGGCTTCGGCTCCGAGTGCGAAGTGGTTGCGTGTCACCACTGGTGCGTGCGTGCCTCCGCTGGCCTTCTGGAGTACAGTCAAGACGCTGACATGAGGACCACTGTGGGCTCAGGAGGGGCTCAGGTTTTCGGGCCGCTCCTTAGATCTACGTCGGGGAACCTATCGTGGGCGAGGCCCGCCGTGGCCAGAGAAAAGCCCCTCCTTTCCCCATTCAGCGGTCCATTTGGCAGCACGACGACTGCAGCAAATTTGTGCCGGCGCTCAACGTTGAACGCCGCCGGCGACCCAGAACCGTCCGATGTTGAACGATCCGACGTTTCGGAAAGGGCCGATTGCTCTCAAGGTTGAACGGTCCCCTCATTGTCAGGAACCAGCGCCGAATTTCAAGGGAAGAAAAGCCACCCAGATCCGACAATTGGCGCTTACTAAACGGCCCTGGGCGTTTACTAAACAGCCCTGCCCATTTCGATTCTGTCTGTGGGTGCGCTTGCTAAACGGCTTCGCGTGTCGGGGTGATCATTCAGGGGGGATATTTTGCTCTCTAGACTCTAGAAGTCGCCACGTCACGAGCGTGCCGTAAGAAGAATGTCCAGAGCGTTCTTCCCCGCTTCTGCCGTCGGGCCGCCCCCCCTCCGCGGCGCAGCGCGGCTGTGCGCTCCGCCGCAGCTCGGAGAGCTGGCCACGAGCCTGGCCCCCCGTTGTAGGGAGGGGACCTGGAGGAGGAGGAGGAGGAGGAGGAGGAGGAGGAGGAGGAGGAGGATGAGGGGCCTCCTCCTCCGCCTCCTCCTCCTCCTCCTGCTCCCTCCCCTCCTCCGCCTCCGCCTCCTCCTCCCTCCTCCCCCTCCTCCTCCTCCTCCTCCTCCTCCTCCTCCTCCTCCTCCTCCTCCTTCCCTCCCCCCCCCTCCTCCTCCCTTCCCCTCCTCCACCTCCTCCCCTCCTCCTCCTCCTCCTCCTCCTCCTCCTCCTCCTCCTCCTCCTCCCCCTCCTCCTCCGCCCTCCTCCCCCTCCTCCTCCTCCTCTCCTCCTCTCCTCCTCCCTCCTCCTCCGCCTCCTTCTCCTCCTCCCCCTTCCCTCCCCCTCCTCCTCCCCCTCCCCTCCTCATCCTCTCATCCTCCTTCCCCTCATCCTCCCCCCCGGGCGAGGCGTGGAACGAACGCCAGGAGGGCGACGCAAATGCCGTGCCTCGTGGGTGGCTAAAGGTGTCCCTGACCCAAGGTGCCCTCAGTTGGTCGGTCAATTTTGGAGACCCTGGGGCCCTCTGGGCCTCGTGATGGGTAACTTGGCATCGCTTGGACGTGTGCACTTGTTCTTCGGGGAGGGCCACCGAGGAGCATTCTGGACCATCTTGCGAACAAATAATCGCACGAAGCCGAACAATGCACAGGGGAATATACGCCCGAGCGACGGCGAGGTAAGGGTCCCGAGAACTTGTAAGGCTTAGAACTAAGGTCCCAGTGGCGCAGCTCGTATGGCGGCGCCGGCCCATGTTGGCACACCCCTCACACGCTTCGTGGCCCCATACGGAGCTCCTCCTGAGGTCCGTTTCGAATATGGACCTCCCTTATCTTTGGAAGTGTTGCACAAGTCGAAGCTTCCGGCCATGGACTTCGAGGCGGTCTCGAGCGAGAGATCCTGACGGGGAGCAGGCATTCAGCCGTGCAGCTGCTGCACATGTTCAGGCTTCTGGCCTTTAGATTCAAGGCAGTCTCAAGCGAGAGCCCCCTCTTGACCAGGATTCACTCTCCGCACCTACAGTCAACCCGCATAGTAAGGATGGGCAACCTTCCCAAGGGTACCCTGGCATCCTTGCCTCCACGGTCCATCCTTGGCCACTTTCGTTGGCCGCGCCCCGCTCGAAAAGCTTCGACGTGGCCTTCCAAGGCCCTTGCGTCCTCATCGCGCATCCTTATTACGCGGGTTGACTGTATCCTTCCCCTCATCCCCCCCCTCCTCCTCCTCCTCCTCCCTCCTCCTCCCTCCTCCTCCTCCTCCTCCTCCCCCTTCTCCTCCCCCTCCTCCTCCTCCTCCTCCTCCTCCTCCTCCTCCTCCTCCTCCTCCTCCTCCTCCTCCTCCTCCTCCCCCTCCTCCTCCCCCTCCCCCTCCTGCTCCGCACGTATCACTGCTGCAGGCGTGCACGGCGAGTGCGCGCGCGCGGCGCCGAGGCGAGGGCCCCGTTGCGAGGCGGTGCGGCCCTCCGTGCGCGCACGCGGCTATCGCGCGCCTGCGCGTTGGAAGGGCGAGCCTGCGCGGCGCCAAAGTTAGGTCGGGCCTGTCCCCCCTACAGGGGTGTTTTGGACGACAACCGGGTTCCTGTCCAAGGCGTGCTTTTGCAAGCACATCGTCTTCGGCCCCGCCTGATCCCGAGGCTGTGCCTCCTCCTGGCCTGGTCGTGCGGCCTCTCCTTCTGTCCCCCTCTCTCTGTTAATTCAAGCTTCGCGCGGCCCGCTTAGCTTCGACCGAAGAGGTGCGCTCTCGACCCGCGAATCAAACAAGTGTTTGGGACGACGAATTAAAGAACGAATGCCCCCAAACATATTCCAGAAATGTCCAGACATGGTCTAAACATGGTCCCCAGGCCATGTTTCTGCTATTTTTGAATGTGCCTCCTGTAGAGGGACAGGCCCGACTTTAACGCTAAGGCAACATCTCCATGTTGACGATGGCCCCCCTCCGTTCGTGCAATTGCTACCGGCTTGTAGGAGGAATGCTCGGGGCGCTGAGGCGAGAGCTCCGTGTTTGAAGCCTCTCCCCATTCTTGCAAGCGCTACCACGCGGGCACGACAGGGAGGAGTCACCTGCAAGGAGCTTGGATGGAGGAGGAGGAGGAGGAGGAGGAGGAGGAGGAGGAGGAGGAGGAGGAGGAGGAGGAGGAGGAGGGAAGAGGGAGCTGGAGTAGGGGAGGAGAGAGTATAGGGAGGGGCGTATGCTAGAGGAAGGAAAACGCGGAGACACTGTATGAGGCCGCGCCGTAGGGCGTAGGATAGGGATTATCGGAGGTAGTCGGAGGCGGCTGTCGTGGCCTGATACCGGTCTGCGCTTCTGTTCGGCTGCTGCTTCGTCGGCTGCGGCGGCGGCGGCTGCGCGGCTGCTCGGCGTGCGGCGGAGGCTGCGGCCGAGTCCGAGTCGGAAGGCGGAGCGTGATGAGAGGCGGAGGGGGAGGCCGGCGTGAGGTCGGCGTGCTTAGCGGCGCTGTTGCGTCGTAGGGCGGATTATGGCTGCTTCTTAGGATTCGTCGCCCGTGGCTCATCGCTGTTGGCGTAGTCGGGAGCCCGAAGAGTGGCTTTGAGGGGAGCGAGGAGCGCGGAGGAGGACGACGACGAGGACGAGGAGGTGGAGGAGGCGGCGGAGCGGGGGGACGAGGAGGAGGAGGAGGAGGAGGAGGAGGAGGAGGAGGAGGAGGTGCAGAGCGTGGGCGACCCGCGGGATCGCCCCGCGACCCGCGCGGCGGGCGCGGGGCAAATTTTCCGCCGACGCGCTCGCGGCGGGCCGACAGCCACTTTGGGGCCTCTGCCGGGCGCGCTCGCTGACCCCTCGCGGGACGTGACCGGGGCGGCGGGCAGGCCGCAGGCTGCGGGGGGGGGGGGGGGGCAGACCGCAGTGTGGACCCGGTCGGGTGTTGCCAGAAGTCGGCGTCACACCAACATGCTTGTATTATATGTGCGTGGCCCCCCCAGAGGCGACGCGCGCACCGAGAAATCTTATAGGATGTGCGTCGTGGCGGGCGCTTTCTGGCCACACCGCTCGGGAAACGACATACTACAAGATGGGTATACTATATGTTCGGGGCGGACGCGCGCCTCCAAGTAGGACATATAGTATTAGTATGTCCCTGTACGTCCCAAGAAGTGCCTTTGGCTCAATAATCAGGCGATCGCAAACATGCATTAAGGGGGCGTGGATTAGCGACGGGTCCCGTTTCCATAGGAAATCGCTGGTTCCCGCCGCCGAGCGAGGCGGCACCGGCCGCATCTTGGGGAGGGCGCCACCCCCGATCCATGGATTTGGCGACCCCGTGCCGAATTTATGGATCGCTAATCCATGTTTGCGCGCCCCCGAAATGAGACGAAGCCAGGACGAGGAGACGTTCGGGTCAGGACGAATCGAGAGTCTCTGAGAGCCGGCGGCTCATGAGGATGCATCGGGCGCCGCGGCCTTCTCAGAGCGGTCCGGAACGCTCTGAGAGCGTTCCCGAACGCTCTGGAACGGATGTATCCTCGTCCTAGTCCCGTTTTACCAGGGTGCCCCCAGGATCTCAAAGAAGGCCTTCACGGCCTCCGAGCCCGCACGAGGTCCAGAGGGCCCCCCGTGCTGCACGCGGGCGCGAAAAGCTGGGAGCGCATTGGGTCAGGGGCACACTTCCACAACACCCGATCCACGGAGGTCGGAGACGAAAAACGCCATGAGCATATATATATATATATATATATATATATATATGTATTCGGAGGTCCGTGCGGACTTCTCAGATCATCGGCGCTCGGACCCACCTAGCGGCGCCTCCAGCGCCGCCCCTGGCGCGCTCCGCGCGCAAAGGAGGGGGGGGGTCCAGCGCCCGTGCAAGGAATCATCGCGGACCTCGGAGAGTTCATGTTCGTGTCAGTATGTTTTAAACGGATATGCCCTCTACAGGATGAATACTCAAAAATAATCAACAAATAGTCTGGGGTCGATTTGTGGATTATTTCTGGACTCTGTTTTTCTGCTAAGTTATCAATCGCTTCGCTCATTCCGCCCGCCCATATTGTCGCACCGTTGTGGGCTAGCCGAGTTTTGGGGCCTCTTGGGGGCCGTTTTGGGGCCTCTTGGGGCCTCTTTTGGGCCTCTTGGGCGCCTCTTGGGGCGTCTTGGGGGCCTCTTGGGGGCCTCTTGGGGCCTTTTTTGGGCCTCCTGGGCGCCTTCTGGGGCGGAGGGCTCGATTTTTCAGTTCTCGGTTCCCCTCTTGAGCCCCTCTTGGGCCCGTCTTGGGGCCTCTTGGTCCGTCTTGGGCGGCACTTGGGCCGTCTTGGGGGCCCTCCTGGCCGTTCCGGGGCCGTCTTGGGAGCCTCGTGGGCCGTCTTGGAGCGGTCTTGGGGGCCTCTTGGGCCGTCTTGGAGCGTCCGGAAGCCGAAAAAGCCAGAACGCAAAAAACATCGAAAAAAAAACAATGAAAATCAACGATTTTGGCCTCTTGGGGCCCTCTTCGGAGGCCTCTTGGAAGGCCCTTGGGGCGTCTTGGAGGCCTCTTGGGCTGTCTTGGGGCCCTGTTGGGCGTCTTCGGGCGATCTTTGGCCGTCTCGGGGCCCGCTTGGACCGTCTTGGAGGCTTCTTGGGGACCTCTTGGCCCGTCCTGCGGCCCTGTAACAGGGCTCCGGCATCTCTGGCCCGACCTTGCCGGGGTACTTTTCGTCCGGGGACCCCCAGGGGCCGCCCCGCGCGCGCGAGCTAGAAATACTGTTAACCAGGTACCGGAGATCTTAGCACGCCCTGGCCCGTTGGGCCAGCGAATTTATCATTTTTCCTTCAGTACGCCGCCTGTAGGGGGACACGCCCGGCCTAATGCCATTCTATGTTCCTCGAGGGGAGGCCGCAGGGCGAGCCCACGGGGGGCACGCGCTTTTTGTTGCAGTGCTGCTCTCCGTGGGTCCGTGCCGCGGTTTGCCGGCCTGGGGGGGGGTCAGCAAATCTCGCTGCCCTCCTCCTCCTCCTCCTCCTCCTCCTCCTCCTCCTCGTTCTCCTCTCCCTCCTCCTCCTCCTCCTCCTCCTCCTCCTCCTCCTCCTCCTCCTCCGGCTCCTCCTCCTGCTCCTCCTCCTCCTCCTCCTCCTCCTCCTCCTCCTCCTCCGGTTCCTCCTCCTCCGGTTCCCTCCTCCTGCTCCTCCTCCTCCTCCTCCTCCTCCTGCCCTTCTCCTTCCTCCTCCTCCTCCTACCTCCCCCCCCTCCGCCCCCTCGCGCCTTCTCCACCCCCTTCTCCACCCCCTTCTCCTCCCCCTCGTCCATCTCTCCCTCCTGCTCCTCCCCTCCATCCTACCGATCCTCCTCCTCTCCTCCTCCTCCTCCCCTCCCCCTCCTCCTCCTCATCCCCCCCCTCCTCCTCCCCCTCCCCCTCCTCCCCTCTCCTCCTCCTCCTCCTCCTCCTCCTCCTCCTCCTCGTCCTCCTGCTCCTTTCCTCCCTCCTCCTGCACCTCCTCCTCCTCCTCCTGCTGCCTCCTCCTCCTCCTCCTCCTTCCTCCTCCTTCTCCTCCTCCCCCTCCCCCTCCCCCTCCTCCTCCTCTTCCCCCTCAACCTCCTTCCTCCCTCCTCCTCCCCTCCTCTAACCTCCCTCCTCCCTCCCTCCTCCCTCCTCCTCCATCATCCTACCGTCCTCCCTCGACCCTCCTCCCGCCTCAATCCTCCCCCTCCTCCCTCCTAATACAAACCTCCTTCCACCCTCCATCCTCCTCCCTGCTCCCTCCCCCTCCTCCTCCTCCTCCTCGTACTCGATCCTCCCTCCTCCCTCGCCTCCCTCCCCTCCTCCCTCCCTCCCTCCCCCTCACCTCCCTCCCTCCTCCCACCTCCATCCTCTCTCCCTCCCTCCTCCCTCCCTCCCTCCCTCCCTCCCTAAAAAACCTCCTCCCCCGCCCCCCCGCCCATCCTCCTTCCTCCTCCTTCCTCCTCCCCTCCCTCCTCCTCCTCCTCCTCCTTCCTTCCTCCTCCTCCTCCTCCCTCCTCCTCCTCCTCCTCCTCCTCCTCCTCCTCCTCCACCTCCGTCCGCCTTCTTCTCCTCCTCCTCTCCTCCTCCTCCTCCTCCTCCTCCTCCTCCTCCTCCGGCTCCTCCCCCTCGGGCTCCTCCTTCTCCTCCTCCTCCTCCTCCTCCTCCTCCGGCTCCTCCTCTTGCTCCTCCTCCTCATCATCCTCATCCTTCGCCTCCTCCTCCTCCTTTTGTTCTCTCGCCCACCTTCCATAACTTCCATCTCGCTGGAAGATTGCTACCTTGAGGGGAACCCGTTGCGAGTATGTCACGGCTTAGGCTTTTTTCCCGATGAGGCTTGCCTAAGGGGTCATGATTGGTCCAAGGTTGGTGCCTCGGACCGTTACTGTGCCCGTTGCCCAGAGGTTCTCCGGGTTTCTCGGGCTCCCCGCCCCCTGCGCCTTCTGTTGTTATTTTGCCCGTTCCTCGGAGGTTCCTCGGGTTCCCCGGGTTCGCCGGGTGCCTCATGCCAAGCAATGCCAAGCAATGCCAAGCATTGCGCCCATGCAGTAGGAAGCTGTCCTCTATCTGTCATTGGCCGCTTTTTGGGCGTCTGGGAGGCCTCACCCGGCATGGGGACCATCAAAAGACGGCTCCGGAGGAGAGGCCGGTTCCGAGGAGGTGGTCCAGACCTTTCTGGGTCGACGCCTCGAACAGGTCGCGGCGCTGGAGGTCTGGGTCGGTGGGCCTCCCGCGCTGACCCGGCTCTCTCCCCCATCCCTCGCTGCTCTTGCTCGCAGGCGCTGTCTCGCTCCTCCTCCTCCTCCTCCTTCGCCTCCGGCTCCTCCTCCTCCTCCTCCTCCTCCTCGTCCTCCTCCTCCTTCTCCTTCTCCGCAGCAGCAGCTGCCACCGAGCGCAGGACACAGAAGGGCAGGGGGAGCTGGACAGCACATGGGCCCGCGAGGGCCTCAGGGTGACCCAAGCTGGTAGCAGTTGGAAGGAGGAGGGGGAGGAACACTCTCTGGTCAGCGGCCGCAAGCAAGTCGGACGGCGGTCGGGCAGCGGCGGGGCGCGCCGGGGCGCAGAAGGCACGGGAGAGGAGGCGTTCGGGGTGGCGGGGGCAGGCCAGAGGGGCCGAGGGCGCGCTAGGTGCGCCAGCGTCACATTTGACGTCCTACCTCTCCTCCTCCTCCTCCTCCTCCTCCTCCTTCTCCTCCTCCCCCTCCCCCCCTTTTCCTCCTCCTCCTGCTCCTCCTCCAGGCGGCTCCGTGGGGGGGGGCCGCAGCCGTTTCGCCCCGCAGCTCTGGACGGTGCTCGCGGAGCACCACGGCAGCACCGCCCCCCAGATGGGACGTGGAGGGCGTTCCAAGGGCGGCCAAGCCTGGTGGAGTCGCGACTGGGACCAGCAGCCGCAGGACCAGCAGCACCAGCATCACCACAAACAACAGCAACACCAGCCGACGGCACACCACCAAGAGTACATCACCTGCAAGAACTGCAGAACCTGGTGGTGGAAGGAGAGCCTACCGGCCATGCAGTACTGGTGTACTTGTGGCAAGATGCTGCCAGGCTCGGGCAAGAAACACCAGCAAGGTCAAGGTGCAGCCACCAGCGGGCAGTCCACCGCCGACCTGGCCCAGGCGCTGCAGGCCGTCACCTCCGCGCTGGACAAGATGCAGCTGGCGAGTGGCGCGCAGACCCAGCAGCAGCTGGCAGGGGCCGCCAGCGCGCTCCAGCTAGCAGCAGCGGCAGCGCCCCCGCAGCCGCCGAAGTCGAAGGCCGTGAGGCTGGCGATCGCGGCAGGCGCCAACATCGCCTACGCGGCTGCCTTCAAGCAGAAACGGCTCGCGGACGAGGTGGCCATGAAGGCCAAGCAGACGCTGGCGCGGAAGGCCGAAGCCGTCCTGC